CACTTCAACATAATTAACATTTTTGCAGCATTCCTGACATATGAGAAACAAAGTTTCAAACTGTTTTACATCGTGGAGGGCAGAAGAATAGGCATAAAGTGATAAAAACATATGCAGTGTTCAATGGGATCCTATAGGCTCAGCCAAAGGGAAAAGGATGAAGAAATTTCCAGAGGACAGGAATGTGGCAACCGAATCGGCCTACCATGGTTGAACTTAGGAAGTGAAAAATGAGGAACAGCTCAGTCAGAGGAACTGAAAGGTACACAAGGACAAGAAAATGGATGTAAGACTTACATTATAAAAGGGAGAGTGGGGCAAACATTTCTTCTAGCTTGCGTGGCTACGTGCATTTTGTTACTCCAAGGTTCCACACATGACAGTCTGTGTCAGCACACCGATGTGACATTGACTTCAGCACGTGGACCTTACAGACCCACATGGATGGAAAGGAAAAATCAGAGGGAACATTGAGTGGGGCAAAACTGTAAAGCAATTCGAAAGGATGATAATTTTAATATCTAGACACAAGGTTAGCAGATTTGGAGAGGGTGGAAATTGAGCTAAGAGTGCAGGGGTATCTTCACACATACACATTTTGACTGAAATGTAGCAAAAGAATCTGCCAGCCTGCCAAGCTACTTTGATTCTTTACCTCTTTAACCTTCGTTTCTGGGCACTCCGACTGCAGGGTGAGTGTGGCGCCTTCTATGTTCCTGGGCATAGGAGTGGATCCAGGATTGATAGTGAACTGAATCTGATCAGGAGAAATGGTGTGATGGACATAACCCTGCGACATTCCATCAGGATCCGATATCAAATAGAAGTTGTCCTCTCCGCTTCCAGATAAAAACGACACCAAGTTATTATTGTTTTCGCCTTCGTCTTCATCCTCATCCTCCTCTAAGCCAATTGGGTCCTGTTCTATCAGCACAGTTGTCCGATCATAAACGGTCCCAGAGGAAGGAGATACCAGGCCATTTCTACCAGAAAATCCCATCTTATCCTCTCTTGTCACCTCCTCTTCATCATCTTCTGTTTCATAGTATGCAACATTGTTATTCTCAGAGACAAGTTTGCTTTTATCTGGGTCATTGTCACCCATGTTGTACAGAGGATTATGGCAGAACTGTAGAATTTTCTGGATAATAGAGAAACAGGCAGTTATCAATACAGAAAATAAAACGTGATAGGAAAATATTTCACTTGAAGGTACCTGTCATAACCTCAAGGCTTTCCAAAGTACTTCACAGTTGAAGTGCAAACAATGCCATAACATTGGAAATGTAACCAACATTTTGCTCATGTTTAGTTTTTACAAACAGCATGTGATAAAACAAGTTGGAGAGAAAATACACTTGTGCTACAAGTCACACAGATTAGTATCACAGAAGGCAGCCAAGAGGCCCATCAAGTCTGTATTAGCTCTCTTCAAAAAAAACAATTCACCAAATGCAACTCCCCATGCTGTCTTCTTTTCAGCGTTCTACTGAAGTTTCTTATTCTTAAAGTTCTTATCAGACTTTCTTATTATTGTAGTTAATGTCATTAACTGCTCCTAACATGTCCTGCCAGTACGTCCCATGTTTGATTTCTAGGTGTGCTGGCCTCAACAGGTATACTACAATAGCCTCAGTAACACAGTTACAATGTGAAAAGAGTCATAATAGTTAAGTCACTATGTTGGAAAGGGAAGAGTACTGCCATGACCTACTGTATGGGCATGTTTACAGAGAGATCACTGGTGCAAGGCAACAGGCCTGCTGCTTCTAATGAACTGTACACCCCACTGCTCCCTCCTCCCACCAAAAAAAAAAAATTAGCACCTCACCAGAAGAGAGTAGAAGTCAGTCAAGACAAACAAAGCATTTCTAAACTTCACGTGCTGAATTTAAACTCAACAAGAACGCAAGGTCATTTTAAATAATGCATTCCAGATTAATGTGCACAAGATTAGAGTTCAATTTTCATCCAAGAATACCAACATATCAAGTTGCATTTTTTGTAGTTTCTAACCCAAGAATGAAATACATTTTTTCGAAGATTAGTTTTGAATATTTGTACTCCCCAATTTTCCCAGTTTGGGAGCTCTTAATTTCTTCCAAGTGTATAAAGCCCTGAATCAAATAGACTGTAATACAATGATTGGCCATGGATGAACTGAAAATAAAAATTTTTCTTAAAAAAGGAATTTATAAGAATGAATCAGCATTTAAATGCTCTTAAAAACAGTGTCAGGATTGAACTTGGAAAATTGTTAAATATGGTTAAATAATTTTCTGAGTGCACATGTTACAAATATATTCAATATGAATTCTTTAGTTAAGCAAGTCAAGTGGCTTACAGTTGCAAACAGTTAAAAACAAAATTTATGTTAAATATGAAGAGTTTGATCACAGAAACAGTGGCGTGTAAGATGCAATGCATGTAGCTGCACAGATTATGAAGGTCCCAGATTTAAGAAACATGTTCATTCTCATGACCTGGGCATCACTGACACTAGCTATCTGGCTAACCTCAGTCTTTCAAAAAGGCTGTTAATTGATTACACACTTGAACAGAACCCTCTTATTTGCAATAGGGTGTTACCAAACAGCTTGTTAAACTGATGAGAGTCCTTTACAGTGTGAGGAAAGATGACAAATTCCTGCGCACAAAGGACATGAAGTAATCAGTTTGGCATTAACAGCAGTCGGGCTTCATAATGACTGAGTAACTGACTGGTTATCTGCATATTAGTTTAAAACACAGGTCAAATCAGAAACAAATCTCTAGATTACTAGTTTAGTAACAGTTTCACATAAAATCAGTAGAAAGAAAGAACGGTGTAAGAAGAAGCTTCACTGTCTGTAAGGTATCAACAGGGATGAAAATAACCATGCTTTGGTGTATTTTAGCTCAGATAAAAAGTATGTTTTTGTGGAGTATTGGGCAGCTTAATTTTAAATTTATCAACCACATTTTCTAATTCCACTATGGCTCAACCCACTCTAACTCTGCTAGCCATGCCATCCTACATATAGTGCCTTGTGCATCTCATCACTCCTTTATTACCTAAATTGGCAGCTGTGCCTTACAGCCCATAATCTGGAATTTCCTCCTCATGCTCTTCATCCATCTCTCCCAAGGTTGTTCCTTGAAATCTATCTTGCCAACAAAGTTTGTAGTCAGCTGCCTGACTATTCTTCTTCCTTGGCTCCATGCCAACTTTGCATTTCACAACGTTCCTGGAACATTCTGCGACGTTGAGGCGCTATATAAATGCGAGTGAGGGCTGTTGTGACGCAGTGGTAATATTTCTACCTGTGAGCCAAGAAACTAGGCTGAAGCCCCACCTGCTTCCAGATGGGTGCAATAACATCTGAGCAGGTTGGTTAAAATATCTACAAATACGAATACAAACACTACACCAGCCAAGTGCTTGGAGACGGTATTAAACCTTGGATTGTAACTCCAAAAGCAGATCACTTGGGTACGGAGGTACAAGGAGAGGAGCCCGCACAAAATCTCGCAGAATTTAAAAAAAGGGAAGAGGATATTTTTTGAAAAGAAGTCAATACCCTCCCTCCAGGAGAACAGGACGGAGTGGAGTCTCCATGTGGAGGGAAGTGTGGACTCCAGCCGCAGCTGGGGGTCTAAGAGAAAAGCAGTCATATCTCTTCTCTTACCTTCCACCGCTCCCTCACAGTATAAGACGAGGCCCAGGAGTTGTCAACAGCCCCGTTCCCAACTGTCCGGGACCGACCACACTGACAGCCCGGGCCCAGCTCCTGTACAGGACGAGACCGGTGAATTGCGGTGGGAAGGTTCGATAAAGAGACATCAAACTGCCTCTCCCCAAGGGTTACTCAGCTCTTTCCTCCCTGCCTGCATTTTACCTGTTCTCTCAGCCCCTCTCGCAGCAACAACTCCTCCAACCGCCACCATGGCTCTCAACCAGTGATGCACGCCGGGATAGCGGATGGTGGTGGTGGTGGCGGCGGCGGCGCCAGCCCCGCCCCCTGTCCCGATCCGCGCACGCCCTCAAAAACTCACCACCCAAACGGACACAAATTCGTTCGGCCTCCCCCAGCCCCCGCCGCTATCGATTTATCGATCGAACGTATCATGACCAGCGATGTTTTGTACAGGATTTCAAAGGACTCGTTCGGTCCGTTTCCACGGCGACGACCTCTCGGGGGGTCGATGCTGACGTCACAAAGTTACACGTGACCCTGGTACTCCACCGCCCCCCTGCCCGGGGAAGGGGCGGAGCTTTCCAGAAAGTTCAGGTACTTTCTACTCCGGACGTTATCAGGTGGCTGTGTTTATGATCGAGGCAAGAAACTTTCAATTAAAGCGATATTCAGACCCGTCTTTAATCCAGTCCCAGGTATTAATTTACCGTTCCTCTCCAGAATTATAGAAACGGATGGGTTAGCTCCCCAAGTTGACCATAATATGGAAGGTTCTGAGGAAGGGTCACCGGACCCGAAACGTTAACTCTGATTTTTTCTTCACAGATGCGGCCTGACCTGCTGAGCTTTTCCAGCAACTTCTGTTTTTGTTCCTGATTTACGGCATCTGCAGTCCTTTCGGTTTTTACATTGAAGGTCTGCCTGGATCCATTCCCACTCTAGCCATTCTTCACTCCTCGCTCATTCCAATGTTGTGACTTAAGGCTATTTTATACAGCACCTTCCAATCGTACCACCTCAAAAGGCAAGCACACCACCGTCTGCAAGTCACCCTCCAACTCACTCTTCACTCCTGACCTGGAAATGTATCGCTGTTAAAATCATTGAACTCACACGCTGTAAGCCTACCTCTAGCACCTGGACTCCAGCAGTTCAAGTAAGAGGCTTACCACCATCACCTCAGGGGCTATGGGGAGATGGGCAGTAAATGCTGCCTGGGCCTCATTCCATGACTGAATTTAAAAATCATTCAATTTTCTCAAGTAAAACGTTGACCATGAAAACTGCTGCCAAGGACTTTACTGTAAGATTCTGGTAAGATGGTGGTGGAGTAGGACACTCCAGCCAGAGCTCATCTGCTCTGCAGTTCTTTTTCTTTTTTTCTCCCTCTTTTCCTCCCTTTTGTGGTTTTTGTCCTCTTCTGTCTTCTCAGTCTCTCGGCCTCAGACACTCGGTTCCAGTCTCTGAAGCAGGGTCGGCGGTCCGGAGCAAGGAAGCCAGCAGCCTGGGCAGGATGCTAGTGATGAGTGTGCCCGGAGCAGGGATGCCAGCAGCTCAGTGCAGAGCAGGAGCAGGGACAGCAGCCTGGTTGGCCCCTGGGACTGCAGCCAGCAGTCAGATCATGTGGAGGCCCTGCCAAGGTCCACAAGTCGGACTTTGGTTCAACTCAACCTTGGTCCACGTGACTGATTTCCTCTGATGCGAACTCTTTTCTACCCTGTGAGTGAAGTCATTTTCCCCTTCTACCTGCAGTCCTTTGGATGAGAACTTTAATTGATGTCCCGTCTGTTCTGATTGATAGATGAAGAGGAAAGAGCTCTTCAACACTGTTGTAAGTAATCCCTGGCTGTTAAGTGCTTTGGGATGTCTTGAGGGTGTGAGAGATGTTTTAGGAACTAAGGTTAGTGGGAACAAAATTAATTGATTTTGTCCCCGAGCCTCTCCTTCCATTCAGTAAAATCATGGCTCCTCTGTGACGTAACTCCCTTTGTCCCATCCTGCTTAATACCTTTGATTACCTTAAATTGATATCAGTCTCAGATTTTAAATTAACAATTGAACTAGCATCATCTGCCAGTAACAGGAGAGCTTTCCAAATTTCTACCATCCATTCTGTGCAGAAGTGTTGCATAACTTCACTCCTGAAAACTTTGTCTCGAATTTTTCGGCTATGTCGTCCAAAGAAAGATGGACTAGCATCCCAACTAGAAAAAATGTTTGTCCACCTACCCTATCCGTTGCCCTCAGAAAAGTTTGATAAAAGCACCTATGATGGCCATTTAAAAGCTCAAGAATACTGAAAAATCCTCCAGCAACAGCTTTATATGAACAAGTCTCAAAGAAAACACCATTGCACAGTTAAGATCTTTTTCAATAAGCTTCGTTATACCAATTCCATGCATTGTTTATGTCTAATTGGCCCAAAACAAGCTGCAACTTGAGTGTTAGCTCAGTTGGCTTGACAGCTGGTCTGTGATATGGAGCAATGTTAACAGCATAGGTTCAATTTCCTTACGTTGGCAGACGTCACCACGAAGGACTCTAGTTTTCAACCTCTTCCCTTGCTTGAGATGTGATGACTCTCAGGTCTGTAATGAGTAGCCCTATGATCTGGTAAGACTGTGGTAACTTGATATGACTTGTAGCATTCCAGTGCTTCTGACAGTTCATCTATGTAGTCTTATCTCTATAACCTGTGCTTTTTAGTTATGATAACTTGTCCGATAGGAAAGTGACATTTGCCCTCGTATCAAGCACAAAACTAACATGTTTATTGACGTAGACGAGTTCAGTCCCTTCTGGATCATTTGGGAATACCTCATGGAACCAAATGTCAATGATAGCATTTTCTGAAGAAGGGTCCCAACCCAAAACATCAGCTTTCCTGTTCCTCTGATGCTGCCTGGCCTGCTGTGTTCCTCCAGTTCCACATTTTGTTATCTCTGACTCCAGCATTTGCGGTTTTTGCTATCTCAATGGTAGCAATTTGTTTTCAAAGGTGAGAACTTTCTTTTACACTCTTTTACTGCTGTTTGTCATTTTTCATAAAGTTGTTCATTTTCCCTTAGGAATCTCTAACTTTTTCTCCTGAAACTTTCACTTGCTCCTTAGAGTCTCTTTCACTTAGGCCCCAACATTTAGTATGTCTGTGGTTTTTCTCTCGCTTCCTGTGTAATGGATATAGTTTTGGTCTCGTATTTAAGAAAGAATATACTGACATTGGAGAAAATTCAAAAGCATTCAGAAGACTGGCTTTTCTTCAAACAAAGCTGGAAATCCTTTTTTGTTTACAAGGAAAGTATGAAGTAGCACACCATAATGAGAAATGGTCTGTGTTCAAAAAGTTAATGGTGGGGTAATTGGAGTATGAGAGAAAACTAGACAGAAATACAAAAAACATAGTAAGAGTTTCTATAAAGAAAGAAAAAAGCTTCTCAGTGAGTGTTGGCCCTATTGAAAGTCAAACTGGAGAATTAATAATGGAAAATAAGGAGGTAGATGACTTAAATAGGTATCTTACATCAGTCTTTACAATAGAGTGTACAAGTAACATCCCTGAAGCAGTGATAAAACAGGAAATGGAAGGAAGGGAAGAACATAAGGAATCACAATCACCAGAGAAGTGACACTGAGCAATTGTTGGAGCTGTTGCCTGGTGTGACGATATGACCTTTAAAAGGATTAGTCTGACCAGTTTCACTTGAAGAGGGGCTGAAATAATTCTACAAAGGCTGGTTATCCCGACACCAAGTCACCCCTTATTTACAGATGAATAGCCCTTGACTCTAGTAGTGCCTCTTCAGAGTCAGCTTTCAGTGTTATTATCTCTGACACACCCCTTTTTATCTGTCAGCCAGTGCTCCCTGATTGGACCAGATTAGCAGCCCCAATCAGAGAACTCATATTCTATGAGGTCCAGCTGGCTGACCTCGTTACAGTCACGACATCTGCCCTCTTCTGAGTTCGAGGATATAGGCCAGTCATTTTTCTTGGGGAGCATTTTAGCACCAGGTCGGGTTAGTTTCATTTTGTGTCCGATACGTGTTTAACGCGTGGGAGCTTGCCTCTTGCCCCAGGAATGCTTCTATACAATTTTATTCTCTTCTTCCAGCAGCAAAGGCGTTGAGGTGGTTCCTTCCATCATATTCATCTTTGATTCTGTGGAATAGTCAATGTTTGATGGAAAGGGTGAATCCACAGGTTCCAGCAGCCTTTCCGACTGATCCGAGGGGCAGGGCACGTTTTGTTCCCACACCATTTGTGAATTCACGGTTTTCATATGGTCCATGTACTCGTTCAGGACCATTGCACCTATCCGAATTTTATACATCACTGGTCCTGACCTCACGTCGACCATGCCTCTTATCCATGCAGGGCCACTTCCATGATTCTTACCACCAAACTTCCTTCCCTGTATCAAACTGTCTCTCTCACTTGGAATCTTGTGGCTGGCATTGACGTTGCTGATGCCGTTTCACCTTCACCTCATGCATGTCCAACTGCTTTGAGTGGGCGTCTACAATGATAAAGAATATCGAACCCATGAAAGGTCCTGCATAGTGGATGTGCAGCCAAATCCAAGGTTTACCCTATCATTCCCACAGATGTGGGGGAGCTGGTGGTTGTAATTTTTGTCCTTCTTGGCACTCTGGGCACTGTCCCACCAAGGCGGCTATGTCTGCATCCATGCCTAGCCATCAGATATAATGTCTTGCCAACACCTTCATTTTGGAAACCCCTAGATGGCCCTGGTGGAGTTCAGCCAGAATTTGGCGCCAACCTTTGCTCGGGACAATCGCTCTTCTCCCCATAACAATATGCTGTCCTATACTGTGAGCTGGTCTCACTGGGTTCAGAAAGGTTGCAGTTCTAGTTGTGATGGCCCTATGGTTTCCCCCATCACCACCAGTTGTTAAAAACCTAAAGAACTGCGGATGCTGTAAATCAGGAACAAAAACAAAGTCGCTGGAAAAGCTCAGCAGGTCTGGCAGCATCTGTGGAGGAGAAAACAGAGTTAACGTTTCGGGTCTGGTGACACTTCCTCAGAACTGAAAGTTGTTTCACCAGTTGTTTCAGTTTTGAAAGGGCTAGATCTTTCTGGGTTCAAAATGTGATATTGTCAGCTTTGACTGGGAGCGTGTCCAGGAAATTTAATATCTTTACAGAATCTTCCATTGTGGGTACCACCAGTGGCATATCTGCTAATGGTAGGCGGTTCATGTATCCGCATTCACTACTCAGCCTCCCAGATGATGTTCTGACTTGTAATTGTACATACTTGGGATTAGAGCCCACCAGTGAATGCAGCCTGTAGGTATGAGCAGCGTTGCCTTGTAGTCTTTAAGCAGGCCAAGTAAGAGTTTGTGGTCATGATTATCACAAATTTTCATCCAAATGCATTGGTGGAGCTTCCTGACTTGAAATGTGACCACCAATCCTCCTTTCTGTATCTAGATCTATTTACACATTGCATTAGCCCAAGTCCTGTTATTTGGTGTTCCTCTCCATTGGGCCACCTATGAACAAATACCACCCTGATGTTGTACAGGGAGGCATCGCATGTCAATACCAGATCTTTCTTGGGATCATTAGTGTGCCAACACCTTAGAGGATGATAGCAATTTCCTTACTTCATCAAATGCTAGGGCTTGTCTACGTGATCCTTTCCAAGGCTGACCCTGTTTTTTTAGGAGTT